CAGACCATTGCTTAGTTTGCCAGGATTGATATGTAAATTAACATATGATGGATCACAACTGACCACTGGATATGTTCTTTTTACTTTCTTTTCGCCTGCTGAAATATCCACCAATGAAAATCCGATTTTTTTACAACAATGAAACTGCCAAAGAAGGTACGTGGTGATGAAATAAATGCACAAGGAATTAAATTTTGAAAAATAGAATAGCGTTAATAACTGCATGCGCATGCATGCCGGAATGCATAAACATGCATGCACATGCATGTGATTGTGGTATTTGTGCGAGTAAGTAAATGAATATGTTTATGCATGTGTCTGATTATGAATATATATCAGTGTGATAGACATACGACTGTATGTAAATGTGATTCCATATGCACACGTGTATGTATATATGCGTGAATACATAAACGCTTGTATGTATGTATGTGTGTATGTTTCTGTCTGTGTGTGTGTGTCTGTGAATTATGGACGTGAGCGTATGCAATAAGATTGCTGCAGTAATGATACATATATAACACAAAAAAAAAAAATCAAGCGAACAGGAATGTTTCGGTCCAACAAGTCGCACACATTCGTATATGTTCAATTGGACTTCATCATTATGACAGTTGTTGTGCTGATTAATTAAGATTATTAAAAATATAAATATGTATAGAAAGGGAAGGCCAAGTATGTGAAAAGTAATGCAAAATTTACCGTAAAGTACAATTTCAAATCTTATACGCAAATCATTTCGAACCTTGTTTTGGTGCTGCTGGCTTAAGGACTTTAAATGACAGCATTTGACCAATTTTGAACACATCGTCAAGTTGCAGCGACGAGCTGCTGAGCGTCTTCAGCAGTCCAGCACCGCAATTCTCAACCGGAAGCTGAACGATCAGGCCATTCGCACACTCCAAAAGCACTTCTGTTTCACTGATCTAAAATAACATCCGTGAATACAGCCTCAGCTACAGACACGAAACATACACCCAAGGGCGTACACACAGATACAGATATGCACAAAAATTAAAATCCCGCTGTAACAATAAGTACCAACAGCAACTTCTTGCCCCGAAGCTTCAAGCAAAAATGCTCAAAAAAAGCCCATTTGCTTTAAAGTGCCAAACACTAATTTTTAATCTATACGCAGCGCGTATGTATGCGTGTATGTTTATGTGTGGTGCATGTGTCTGTATATGTATGTATGCGTGCACGTAGATATGCGTGTATGTTTTTGTGTGTGTATGTTTGTGTGTGTGTGTTAGTATGTGTGTTTGCGTGTATGTACGTGTATGTATGCAATGAGGTTGTTGTAGTAATGATACAAGTAAATACAAAAAAGATCAAAAGAACAGGAGTCTTTAACAAGGACTCGTCATTATCTGATTTTATTAAAATCGAAAATTCGCTCCAAAACTTTCAAAAATCTCTGCTAAATTTTAAAAATATGCGAAAAACGTACCTCTCTGACAACGCCCAATCCAAGTACTCCTTCAGCCAACCAAGCTATTGTCATTGGACGCGTCCAAATGCCTGCATGCTCTGAATTCAATTGTCCACCACTGCGGAATGATGCCTAAAATTTGTTTCGTTTTTAAACGATTTTGAGAGCACAGCAACGGCAAACAAAGGAACGGGAGAATTTTTTAGACGTCAAATTTTAGCACATTTGAGGTAAAAAAAGATGACAAGAGCAGGGAAGGGCAGGGTTTTTTCCAAAGGCTAATTTTTTTTTCATCACATTAATCAATTAAATAATTTTAAAACCCGCCTTATTACTTATCTTCCACAACATTCTGTTCATTAACATGTATTACACAATTAATTTAACCCTAATTTTCACTAACTTCAATTACCACAATCGTCGCACTGACGACGTCCGGTTGTGGCAACAGTAAGAAATACATAAGATTTAAAGGGCCGAAACAATTCCTATCAATATAATAATCATACAAATTTTGTAATTTTTATTTCTCATTTTCCCTTTCATTTTTTTAATGCGTTTTTTGCAGCTATGCAATGCGAAAAGCACATATTGACGAGAGGTTGCCTGTGTGTGTGTCTGTGTGTCCGTGTATGCGTCTGTCACGGTTTTTCATCTCAAGACCTACAAAAGCTACA